CACTATCTGATATGTTCATAAGACGAACCCCTAGGCTAGCAAGTCTGTGAAAAATCCTTTGCTAGCTCTCTCCTTTCTTCCTCAACATGTGCTACACTACCCATGGATAGTCTGCTAAGGGCATCTGCTACTACATTCGCCTTACCTGGATGGTAATGCACACTCATATCATAATCTTTGAGGAACTCAAGCCACCTTCTCTGGCGAAGATTCAACTCTTTCTGGGTGAACACATACTGAAGGCTCTTATGGTCTGTGAACACATCTACGTGAACACCATACAAGTAATGTCTCCAAATCTTAAGTCCAAACACCACTGCTGCTAGCTCGAGGTCATGAGTTGGATAATTCTTCTCATGTACTTTAAGCTGTCTAGAAGCATAAGCTATAACCTTACCTCGCTGCATCAACACACAACCTAGGCCGACTCTGGATGCATCACAATAGATCACATAACCATCTGAACCCTCTGGTAGAGTCAAGACAGGAGCTGTAGTCAACCTAGTTTTCAGTTCTGCAAAGCTTTTCTCACAATCATCTAACCATTGGAACTTGACCTTTTTCTGAGTTAACTTAGTCAATGGAGAGGCTATGGATGAAAATCCTTCCACAAACCGTCTGTAATAGCCCGCTAGACCCAAGAAACTTCTGATATCTGTAGCAGAGGTAGGTCTGGGCCATTGTTTCACTGCTTCCATCTTCTGGGAATCTACTCGAAATCCTTCACTAGACACAATATGCCCAAGGAAGGCAACTGATTGTAACCAAAACTCGCACTTGTTAAACTTTGCAAATAACTGGTGATCTTTGAGAGTTTGCAGAACAACTCTCAAATGACTTGCATGTTCTTCCTCATTCCTAGAGTAAATGAGGATATCATCAATAAAGACGATAACGAACAAGTCCAAGTACTGCTTGAACACTCTGTTCATCAAATCCACGAAAGCTGCAGGAGCATTGGTTAGTCCAAATGACATAACTATAAATTCATAATGACCATACCGAGTTCTGAAGGCTGTCTTCGGAATGTCACTATCTCTGACTCTAAGCTGATGATAACCTAATCTGAGGTCTATCTTTGAGAAATGACTAGCACCCTGAAGTTGGTCAAACAAGTCATTAATCCTGGGGATGGGATACTTATTCTTGATTGTGACCTTGTTCAACTGCCTATAGTCAATGCACATTCTGAGAGAACCATTTTTCTTCTTCACGAACAACACTGGTGCACCCCATGGCGAAATACTAGGTCTGATGAAACCCTTATCTAGAAGGTCTTTCAACTGCTCTTTCAATTCCTTAAGCTCAGCTGAAGCCATTCTGTAAAAAGGGATAGAGATAGGCTGGGTATCTGGAAGGAGATCAATTCCAAAGTCTATTTCCCTTTCGGGAGGAACTCCAGGAAGATCTTCTGGGAACACTTCTGGAAACTCATTAACCACTGGAATTGACTCAAGAGCTGGGGTTTCGGAACTAGAATCCTTAACCCGAACTAGATGATAGAGATAACCCTTAGAGATCATCTTTCTGGCCTTAAGGTAAGAAATGAATCGACCCATAGGCGCTAAGCTACTACCCTTCCATTCTAAGATTGGTTCGTCTGGAAACTGGAAACGAACAATCCTAGTTCTACAATCAACTGAGGCATAACATGAATGTAACCAATCCATGCCTAGAAAACTCTACAAGATCTGCTGAGGTGACTTTCTGAGAGACTGTGACAGGGCAATTTCTGTATACCCGCCTTGCTATAACTGGGTTACCGACTGGAGTAGAGACGGAGAAAGGTTCTGAAAGAGTTTCTAGGCTAACACTAAATTGGACTGTTATGTAAGGAGTTACAAAAGACAAAGTAGTCTCTGAATCTTTCAACTGAGTGTACCATATGTGAGCCACATCCTTAAGCTGGTAGGATGCCAACTCAACCCTACCATTACCAGTCACTTGCATCACTCCAAAGATTTTCTTAACCTCATCAATGAAGTTTTGTGGGTCTTCACCAACTTGTGACCCTAAAACTCAAGCGGATTCATCCTTATAAAAATCTCAAACTCTAGCTGCCACTGATCCACCATTTCTATTAGTAGGAATTGGAACTTGCTGATTGTTCTCGTTGGTCATACCTGAGCCAAAAGCTGAATTGGCATTTCGAAACTCTACATTCGAAACTTCATGATCTGAGACTAGAGGAACTGCGTTAGCATTCCTGGCATAAGCTCTACGAGGAGGCATGATCTTAAGCGCATAACAATGGATTAGAAAGGAGATCATACCAACGCACGATAGAATATCAAGAAAGTGAAGTTTTCCTAAAACACTTCATATCCTCCCTCTCATTAGATGTGGTGCACTTCACACCCATGAAAAAGACTCTACTTAGTGTGGCTTTTCAGACATCCTAGGACACTTAAACCTAAGACTCTGATATCAAGTTTGTCACGCCCCGAGCTACCCCCAAGACGCGGACACGGGACCTAGGACCACAAGTGATCCCAAGCTAACCCTGCTGGCATGATCATGAGCATACTAAAGAAAATAAATTGATGCGGAAGCTAAATCATAAATAAATCTGAAAAGATGGGGAATACCCATATACTGTAACTGAATATATCAAATCTGAGAGTTTAGTACAAAAGAAATATCAAACTCAAGATACTAAGCTGAATCTAACTATGTCTGAAATAAGACTCTAAACTGACTAGAGTCTGCCCGATAGGGCTTCACTAAAACGGGCATAACGTTTTACTCGGAGGTCGGAATTTAGAAAACTCGGTGGCGTTGGAAAGATAATTCAATTATCTATCTAACCATAGGTCATGGGACACATAATTCATTTTGTGCTAGAAGTTATGACCATATGAAGTTGACCCATCAATATTTTTCATCTAACTAGCTGCTAACCTCATCTACGGTCAAACCTACGGACCGTGGATTGAATGACGGTCCGTGCTGGTCGACCGTAGTTTGTGTCAGAGGCTGGTAAGGGAAGTCTTGATCCACGGACACAGACCACGGACCGTGGTCTAATCTACGGACCGTGGGTCTGTCCGTGAGTCGGGACTTAGCCAAATTTTCTGACTGAGTTCTGGGGAAGTTTCCTGTAACGAACCACGGTCCGTGGATGGTGTCCGTGAGTGCCATCTGTAACACCAGAAATCTGAAATCTCTATTTTCGGATACGAGGTGTTACAATACTATTTTGAGATAGTTTGAGTTTTGAGAAGTTTTGAGACTTTTGAATTTAAATTTTGTTTTAAAACTTAAATTTGCTTGAGTTAGTCTTCCGCTAAGTAGTCTGTCAGGCCAAGGGTTCGCTTGGGGATCAACAATGGTTCTCGAGTGTCGGTCATGTCCAGGGTGTAGGCTCGGGGTGTGACATTACATTTCCTCCGTCCACTTTTAATTGCTATGATTTCCATTTTTTAGAGTCAAACTATAAGAACTTTGACTAACATTTTACGATGTATTTTTTAATCATATTGATATGCAAAATATTACAACTTATAGTAATTTTCGTATAGTTTTTGAATATCTAATTTTTTTTGTTTAAAATATCGAATTAATGTAATCTAAATTAACTTTAAAAATTAGTCAAATTGACTTTCAAAAAGCGCAACATGATAATTAAAAATGGACGGGTGGAGTATTGCAATAACTATGTAATTTCGGAGTAAATTACTCCCTCTGTCCATCTTTACTTTTTCACTATACTAAAAATAGATATTCAACAATACTTGTTCAGTTTGAAAAATCAAGAGATAATTTACCTCTTATGTCTATTTTTCCCTTGCTATTAAATACTATTCAATATCAAATACATTTTTCAAATTTAATATATTTAAAGGGCACTATAGTAATATTACCCATATTATTTATTGTTTCTTAAGGTGTGTGTCAAATCAATAGTGGACAATTATTGTTAGACAGAGGAAGTATTTCATAATTTTAATTTTTATCCCAACTAAATATAAGATAAATTCATCCTAAAATTTGTCTAAAAATTAATTATTTCTTATAATTCATACTAAACTTACCAAAAAATAAACTCGATCAATTTTTCAGTCAGTCTGAAAGTTGATCAATATTTGCATATTTTTTGTTGGGTTTTTTGGTAATTATTTGAATTTTTTTAAGTTTATTATGTTAGTTAAATTAAATTATTCTATTTAGCAAATTTTAAAAACTAAAAATGCTCGTGATCATTACTTGAAGGACAAAAAATAAATCTACTTTCATATATATGCAATAATTTTGGCTAACAATTCACAAAATTACGAGATAGAAAACACAAATACCTGATAAAACTTCAAGTGTATTTTTGATCATTTTCTTAGTAAAATACGAAATAACTTTGATAAACAATGTTGGAATTCGAAGCTTTGACAAGTGAAAATTAAGGAACGATTCATGAATTTCAATAATTTTGTGAAGTTACAAACCGCACTTGTGATTCATGGGGTTAAAATATGTATAATTTAAAAACCATGAAATTATGCATAAGGTTCAAACATTTATAAGTTGCTATGTGTTTTAAGTAGATGTATTTTTGTTCGAATTTTATTTCGCATTAAAATAATTTCCATGTTACGTTTCATACAATGACTAAAAACTCATAGCATATCCTAAAATTGGTCATTTCACATAACGTTTACGTATCAAATTTAAGCAATTCAAAATGAATTAAATTAATGAAAAACAGTGAATCAAAACTACTTGTATTAATATGAGCTTAGATTAAAAAATAGTGGATCAAAGCTATTAATAAAACTTATATAATATCTAAAATTTTATTATTTCTTGAAAAGCGAAACATAACAAGTATAACAAAATACATTTTTCTTTGAATACAAAATTTCAAATTTGTCGATTTCAATAAAAAAAATTGTTGTAGAAAAAGACAATTTTTCGATGGCATATCTCCATTTCACCCTTTCGTTGTCAAGTATTAGAGGTTTGGCCTCATGCAAGGACATCTTTAATACCAAAAAATAACACGAAGGTAAAATCGAAAAATAAAAGTTGAATGATCATTCGTGAAATTACAGATACATGAAAGTTACATCTAATGATAATACAAGACTCTCTAACAGGAAAATACAAATACCAAACACTACAGATGAAGAAAAACATAGAGGCAATTTATTACCGATGCATAACATTATAGAATTCCACAACATATTTGATACCAAAGAACTATCCCATGTAACTTTCACCAGTGATTGATCAATGCATTTTTGAAGTTTCAAGCCTTCTGTATAAAAAAAATAGAAAAATGTTGTGAAATGTCAGTAGCTATATACAATTCTCAAACCAAAAAATGGAAAAAATATATCTATCGTTTGCAAACGAGTACCAGAAAGAGGTTCTTGTAGTATTCAACCAGTTTCTCCGGTTCCAAGACCTTTGTTTGCTTGTATCCGTCAAGCTTGTCCATTTCCTGCGAGATGATTAAAGCACAATTAAAAAAAGAACAATCTGATGCAGGAAGCATCCACGTTCACGCTGCAGGATTGGAATATGTTGCACACCGAAGGGGTGTAATGTAGGTAGTCTACCCTAACATAAATATCAGCAGTTGATTCCACAAAGAAACAAAGGCGATCTTAATAATTCCCGGCCTTAGTCTCTAAGCTTTTCAAGTGCAAGGACCCTTTTCTATTAAGATGAACATTCTTAGATACAACTTCTCATATAAGTAAAATAAGTATTAAGAGTAATAATACTTTGTATATAATATTAAAATGTTAATCATACTTAACACTGCATATCTAATATTAGTAATACCTCAATCCATTTGGCTAGTTTAGGCCTCCCGGATGTAATGTCATAGTTAAACCCCGCTGGCATGAAAATTTGAAACCTTTCGATAAATGGAACATATGCTATGTCAACCTAGCACAACAGAGTTTCATGTCAGCACAGAATCTCTATGAAGTTCGAAATCTAGGAAAAAAGTACATCCACACTACTCTGTACTGGTTGTCGAGTATGTTTTTGGCAAAGCTACCATCTCACACGACACATCATCACAAAGGAAAACAAAAAGAAAGAAAGTAATGACCTGACTGAATTGACCGAGGAAGAAAGGTCCATCGTCAAATTTGCCGAGAGCTTTTTCTAGGAAATCGAATTGTGCACCTGGTACAAGTGTTAATACCATTAATTTACATGAGAGACATTTAACAAAGAATACATAACGAGTTTTAAAGAAACAAAGCTCAAATCTCACCAGCCAGTGTCTGTGCATCTCTCATGAACGATCTATATATTTCTGGGACGAATGTATCACTATAAGCTATCAATTCTTCAGCAAATTTCTGCTTTTCAGGATCCTGCATCAATTAGCCAATATTTTCTTTTTATCAATTTACAACTTAAGATTTTCCTAAACAGACAGGACAATAATGAACTTTTGCAGCTTACATCCGGTAAAAGTGATGGTCCTTCAAAGTTGCTATCAATATATTTAACCAGATCCAAACTCTCTCCTATCACTTTGTTGTTGTGCTCCAGGGATGGCACCTGAGAGGAGTAACAAATATGAATAACTGAAATCGTAAAATAGATTCTCTCTGAAGATTTATACATTCACTTGCTTCAATGTCCTTAAATAAAAGCGTATGTGCCAATTGGATGATAGATAAGACTAGCATTTATGCACTGGCTCAGTCAATAACCATTGAATTCGAAGAGGAAGAGAAATCCTTTTCTCAAAAATTCATGGACATTTTCTTCAGAAATCTCGTACAATTTACAATGAGGCCAAATGCCACTGTCAAAATCTTAGCTCAAGATTTTCACTTCATGTGCATACAAGTGAATTGGGCAAGCGAAAATGAATATTGGTTTGGTGGAAAATTACCTTATTTGAGGGGTAAACTTTTTCCTTGTACCAATCAGGCCTGTTCTGAAGATCAATTGGAACTAAGTTGATCTTGTCTTGCAAGCCCTGCAATTCAAAATGTTAGAAAAGTCATCTAGGTAAGCAGGACCATTGCCAGGTATAAGAACACAAGGACTGAATAATCTCAAGTAGGATAGAAATTACTTCCAAGTTGAAGTTTACAAAAGGCATCAATAAAATCAACAATTCTAAGTAGCACTTCCTTTCAGAGGTGGATAGAACTTTTGAACAATGGGTTCATCCTAACCAAATATTTTGGACATAGAATGTGAATATGTATACGAAAAATCACCTAAAATTTAACGACTATTAAAATCTGAACCCCGTGATTTTAAAAGTATAATAAGTATAATAAGTTTAATGCTTTTAAAACCTTAAAAGGTTGAACCCATCATGTTTGGATCGTGGCAGTCAAAAGTCGGGAAGTCATAACTACTTTCAGTGTGACTTGACACAAAAAGTAGAGTTGTTTCTTTACTGTCACTTAAGTCACCAGTTTAGAGAAGTGAAACAGCCTCTTCAAAGAAATACAAGTGCAAACTGCATACCACCATATACACCATTTTACCCCAACGGCCCTGCACTAGCTACTTATATATAACACTTCATGCACAGGTAGCCATTTCCAATATCCAGGCTAGACAGCATCACAGAATGAAGCAGTATACTAAATTTACAGAGACTGAAATCTAATATGACCATGCTCATCCAAATTAAGACTCCCTTTTTTTCATTTTATGCGGCGGTATTTGACTAGACATGAAATTTGAAAAAGAAAAAGGATTTTTAACAAATCAAAAGTATCTTTCAACTTTCAATCTTACACATGACATGACATTTTTATAGCTATAAAGATATGTAATTACGAGTAAAATGATAAGTTCAAAGTTGAAGAGTCTCCAAATATAGAAAGTTGCTCATCTTTAACAGACTGCAAAGAGAAAAGCGAGATAAAGTAGAATGGAAAGGAGCAGTAAAAAGGCGAACCTTAACATTCCTGGTAATCCACACACGTTGAGCATAGGGGCATTGATAACTGATATACAACCTTCAGACAACACAATAGGCAGATCACAATCTTCACTCAGATAAATAACACCGTAACGATGACAAAGAACATTTTTTTCTTAAAACAAACAAGAGAGAAATTAAAAGAAAAAGGCGATTAAACCTGGTAGTTCCATCAAAGAGAGACGGGGGTTGGGAAGTAGAATCCAGAGATGGTGGTAGAACTTCCTGTACACTTCTGTACAAATAAAAGAATAACCCCCATCAACATTCATATCAAAAGCAAACTTAACAAATCAACTTACATAAAACATGCATATACAACCATTACTTAATCCAAACTTTCAAATCAATGGTCTTGTTGTATCACAACCCCCAACCTTAAACCCCACCTCCCCTTCATCTTCTTCTTCGGTGACCTTTCGTGCACTCTCTACTAGTTTCATGGGATACCTACCACCTACCACTAGCAACAACAACAGGTACCTAGTAACACTTCATCTTCTTCTTTTCATATAAAAGGTACTCAACATCAAATATCCGGTAAAGAAATGAACTTTGAACCTAACTCAAACCCCCCAAAAGACCATTCATTCCTAAATCACTCACAGCTAAAGCTGGACATCTGAAAGATGGACAATTTCATATGACACTCAATATATGAACAATTTTATATGGTACCCACTATCTATTGCTTCCCTTATCTCATATCTTGCTATTTTATTGTTTTATTTGTCTTACAATCCTGCTTTAGATACTTTTCTTTCGAGCTATCGTCCATAGGAAATAGTTTCTCTACTTACATTCACTTTTTTTGGTGGAATTATACCGAATATGTTGTTGTAATGAGCAATATTTCTCAAAAGAAATGTACCTCAGAACTTAACTCAATCTCTTAATTACTAACTATTTGAACAAATTAAACACATCTGATGATCAATTGAAAACAAGAGGAAGCAAATTAAGACTTACGGAGCAGCCATTGATGTTTATTTTCTCTGCAATTGAAGACGACCCGGAAGTGTAAATTTGATGAAAATGAGAATTTTGGGAGCCTTTTATATTAGATGGAAAGGAATACCAGTGGTGTGCGAGCAGAGCAGTGACTAAGTTACGGTTCGTTTGGTTGCGAATAAGTTATCCGAGCTTAGTTATTTTAAGATTGTTATCTTATTTTTATCGTGCAATGAAAAATAATATTATGAATTTGAGATAAGTTGTTTGTGATTTTATCGTAATCGAACCTGAGATAAATTCATCCTAAAATTTATTTCGAAGTTAGCTATTTCTTATAATTTGTATCAAACGATAAATTTAATTGATTTTTTTTAAGTCAGTTTCAAAGTTGATTAAATTTCAGCATATTTTTCGTAGGAATTTTTAGTAATATCGATAGTCATTTAAAGTTGACACAAATTTTCACTTAGACACCTCATTAGATTTTATTCATTTTAGACATTTCATTATACGAGCTTCCCTCTGTCATTTTATCACATTTGTCACAATCTATTGACCTCAAGTGTGTGTTAGCCAACCATGTCTACGTGGATTAAATGTAGCTATATCATAACAACTCATTTGTAACCACATCATATATAGTATTAAAAAGAAAAAACAAGGGTCAAACCACATGATACAGTAATCAATAATGTCATGTGATCACCATGGGTTATAGTGCATTGGTGGGAGTGTTTCACCCTTAATTAGAGAGTTCGTGTGTGAGTCCTGGATATGGAGAAAATCATGTTGGAAGTGGGCTCCAGACACCGAGTGAGAAATTAAAAAAAAAAAAAAAAGTCATGTGATCTTTTTATTCAAACAAGTACAAAAATAAAAATAAAAAATTGACAAATTAAAATACTAAATAAATAGTGACAGTATGAATAGACTAAAATTATAATTGTAAATATTTTTCTTCTTTTTTACTTAATTTTATTCTCAATTCTTTAAAAAAAAAGGAGTTCAGATTTAGCTTGCAACGTTAGTATGTTAATATCTTACTTTTGAACAAACTCATCTTCTTCCGATTTAGCTATTGCAACTGAAGAACAAATATGAGTCAAAAAATACTGGAAGAGGTAGGGGTTGAAAAATGGGGGAACAAATAGGTTAAATAAGTCTGATGCGTTATTAACAAGTGTATTACATTTACTTGACAATACAACAAAAACTGTCAAAATAAAACAGAAGGACATGACATGAAGATATCTAAAATAAACAAAACTTAGTTAAGATGTTTAAATGAAAATTGGTATCAATTTTACATGGCCACCAAACACTTAATGGGCAGAGTTAGCGATAGTTCTTCATGACGGAATAGCTACAGCCCGTGCTTGATAATCATCCACTAAACTGCCGAAGAAAGGCTAAACGATTGTCAAGAGCTTTCCGATTTGGAAAACGGATAAATAATTTGTCTACGAAATACTTCTCAGTCTAAATCACCCAAACTAGAGGATTGTCACCACTGAAACAATCCGTTTCGGGGGCTTGAGATAGGTCCACCATGGTAGATGGAATCAATGAAAACACCAATATAATAAATCTGAATTGATCACTATATTATAAAGAACGAGAACATGATTACAACTTTAGAACAGTAATTACAAATCTCAGACTACTGCATTACAATGGAAATATTGAAATTACTAGTAACTAAGGATAAAGATAAGGATAAAGATAGAAGTTTAGACTCCAGAAAAAAGATGAGAGAATCTTCAGAATATGTATAAACGTTCTTTCTCATCTGCCGTACTTTTAGTTAGTTGTATATTAATTGGGCCTGGGTCCCAAATCAACCTTTGTAAAGGCCTTCCAAATTTGTTGCTTCTTCTCGGCCCAATAACTAGTTGGGTGGCATCCGTATAGATATCCACATTGGACCGAGGCTGGTTCATCGAAGTTGAATATTGAACATGGGAAAACCAATTAGTATCCAAAGAAGAAGCAACGCCTCATTGTGTGGGTGGCACATAGGGATCTTCCAACTTCAACTTCTCAAACAATGAAGCCAAATTAGTATCCACTGCCATTGAAATTAAAAACTGAAATTCAAATCAATTTTGCCTCAGATTTCACTAGGATTTTGTGGGATGATAGTAGAGGAAGAAAAAATGGGGTAGTCAGGTGCACGATGAATCTCGTGTTTATGAATTTTTAGTAATAAACACACTTCTAAAGGGATGTAGATGGTAGTGTAGCTACATATCCTAACGTAACAATTAGTGATTAATTTCACGACTTATATATACTTGTGATTTATAGATTAGATGAAGATAACTTTATTATTTCTCCAACAATAAATATAAGGATCGAAATAAAACTAGAGGGTGGAGTTGATTTTCAAATAAGTAAAATAAGATCATCCAATGTTTATAAAGAGGTCGCCATTAGGTATTATTATTTTCTTTTGCATGAATGATATCATTTTCTCTTATAATGGCATATCTTCAAAGTTTAAAAGAATATTAAGAATATAGTTTGATATGAAAAATTAAAATGCCACTTCGTATTATTTTCTTGAATGTCACTATATAAATTTCACCAATGAATATAATATGATGGGTGAATTTACACTCTTAATTGAAGATTTCCATTCGAATTTAAAAACTATTGAATTATTTATTTCTTACGTAACATAAATATGAATTAATTAGACGAATATATTTTCTTAAAACTCCAGTAAGTAGTAATAATTAACTTGAAAATCTATGTAGTATTTGAAATTTATTTTATGTTTCATTAAAAATAAATCTTATCATAATGATTTCTTATAAGATTACGATCTATTATATGTTATAAATACAACTAATTTATAACAAGTGGTATAATTTATCTTATTTACGTGAAATTCGTGATTTTAATTATAAAATATTGTCGTATCAATCATCTAAGTGATAGGAACTATTACGTGAATGTAGTGAGTGATTTTATATGTAAATGGTAAAAATAAGGTGACTTTAACGTTAAAAAAAAAAAAAAAATATATATATATATATGATTTTGTGTGAAATAACAAAAATATAATGATTTTTCTGTTATAAAACAAAGAAAGTATTTTTCTTTTCGTAATTTTTATTAATTAAATGACCTTTTGAATGATCCAACTCTGATAATTAGTGTTAATTGGGTCATTATTTGAGAAAACAACATATTTTAATTAGAGTATATTTTTCAAATAAATGGTAAATAACCTGATATAACGTGTTAATTATAATTAGAGTTGTCAAAAATGACCAGTTCAGCCTCACCTGGCACAAGCCTCACAGACCAAAAAAATTGATGGGATAGGGCGGGTTGTTAATTGGGTCATTATTTGAGAAAACAACATATTTTAATTAGAGTATATTTTTCAAATAAATGGTAAATAACTTGACATAACATGTTAATTTATAACTAGAATTGTCAAAAATGGTCAGTTCAGCCTCACCTGGTCCAAATCTCGCGGACCAAGAAATTTGATGGGCTAGGGCAGGCTGGCCCTTTATTTGGAAGGACCTGAAAATGCTCAACTCAATCCAACTCTAGAAGGATCACGGGCTGGGACGAGCTAACCCTTTCTTTTTCTTTTCAAACTTAAAATTCTATAACATTAAGAAAATGAGAAGATTTTCAAATAAAATATGACAAACAATGGTGTTGTTTCAATAACACTAGCAAAAAGTGTGTGATTTGCATGTATCTAGGATACAAGATACGTGAAATACATGTATATAGTGTGATGCATCCCAGATACGCGAGTGAGATAAGAGAGTGACCAGCGAGATGGGAGGGAGGTGAGGGCGTGAAATTTGACTATGTATCCTAGTGAATCCACTTGAATAGAGTGTATCTAGAACAAATTACACATAATTTTGAGTCTATGTATCCCGAGATACATGTATCTGGACGCACCAAAATCTGATAAGATTCGTAATATTACAACACAGCGTGTATCTAAGTAATTAGCTCATAAACTAGTGAGATTTCTGTAAGTTACCCTTAAATAAATAATTTTAGCCCATGGGCCAACCCCGATCAAGTCTCAAGGGACAAGGGCTTATATGGGTCGGACTTATAATCCCTAGTTTTAAATGGACTTAAAAAAAATTCTATTACAATGCTACCCCAATAACGGATTGGGTTGGGTCGACCTCATGGGCAAAGCCCATTTTAACAGCTCTATTTACAACAATGATATAAATAGGGAAACTTACATAAATATACTATATTAAGACAATATTTACTACTATTTATAACAATAACATTTTAATTTTCACTTGATCACTTTTAATACATTTTAATACAGTTTTAATACATATTACAGAGAATAATTTATAAAACACATATAATACAAGTTTTATCGATGAATATTACATTTATCACACATTTTAATACACTTATAATACAATGTGTCAATTTCTTACCAAACAAGTATAATATATATTAAAACGATTATAATACATATATATTGCATACATAATTCACTTTTAATACATATTACAAGATTTATCATAGTATTACTATAAATGGTAATAAATAAAAAGTACTCCTTACAAAATTAGTAATTATTTATTAAAAGGTACATATTCAAGTAATTTGTCGATATAAATAATTGTTACATTATTAGTGAATATAACTTCAATTCATACGCAACTAAAGAAAGCAATTTTTTTTAATAGCCAATTGGAAATAGGTTTAGGCAAAAAAAAAAAAATCATATTTGAGGTTTCAAATTGGATATTAAGCACCGAATATGAAACCAAATAAAAAGTTACAATTATCACTAAAAAGTAAATACTTCAAATAGGACTTTTCGATGCCAATCAAAATTAATCAGGACCAAAATAAATATGGACTTCTCAATGTAAATCCACATTAATCAAACATCAAAATAAGTATCTGATAACAAATGCATAACATTAGAAAAAGTCCAAACTACCACTAAAAAGTAAAAATATTGAGTCATACTTCTCGACGTGAGTCAAAATTAATCAATCATATCAAACATCGAATATAAAATAAAATACGTAAATCTAAACTACCCTTAAAAAGTAAATCACCGACTCGATCGAATTATATGCCAAAGTGGGAAATCATTAAGCAACTGTTCTTTTTCATTAATTTAATTATTTAAACCTCATTAGCTGGCTAATTTAGAACCGAGGGGATCAACTTTACAAGATTTTATATTATTTTATGGGGAAAAAAAAGAATAAAATATACTTATAAAAAAGAATTAGAAAAATAATGAAAGTCCACATTGAAAATTATTCTAAAACTTCACATACCAAAGAATATATTCCTACAATTTCTTGAAGAAAGAATACCAACTTCTATACGTAGACAAAGGTTGTCCCTAACTAAAGCTTTCTCTAAAATAAGTAAATAGAAAATTAAAATGTTTCAAAATTAAATTTAAGGAATAATAGCACTTTCGATTTCAAGTTATTATAATACATGACTAAACACATTTATTTATATTATATGACTTTCAGCACATAATATATTTCGTGTATTGGATTATTCTCAATGAGGGGTAAAAAAAAAACATAATTAAGAAAATTGAAGCTAATCTAACCATACGTAATCATTAGATTTGATAACTTAATATCATTAATCATAACACAAATATTCAATTACATGACAAAGAATTCCTTAAAACTACAAATGCATATTATTTTAAGAAAATAGGAAATTAGCATTTCTAATCCCTCAAATATTGATGAATTCTAATTGTGATTCTTATGAGTTATGATTTTTGGTTAGACATATTTAATTTTAGTGTATAGAAGGTAATATAATTCAAAAATAGTCTAAAGCACACACATGTTAGTTTTAAATGAATATTAGATTACCAAAATGTTACAAGGACCTAAATAAGAAATTGCTAATAATCAAAGAATCATAAGTAAAATCAACCAAATATATATATATATATAATTTTACTTATTAAATATTTTTGACATGTAGGTTAATTTCAAATCTTCTTTTAGTTACTTTCACCAATTAATCGCCTACGTATTATGTTAAGCTACTCCATACTTAACAGTAATATAATTATTCTAAATATAACATACATCCTACATAAAAGGATCAAAAACACACTTTCAACTAACTGAAGGTTAAATGTGTTTACCTAAATACTACAAGGACCAAACAAGAATTTACTAATAACTAAGGAACTAAAAATGCAATTTTTCAAAAAAAAAGCAAATAATTATGACACATGGTTAATTTCAAGTCTTTTTTAAATTAATTTCTCAAATATTTGGTTACCTATTCAAGAAGAAAACTCCAAGCTAACCAAAAGCAAGAAATCTATAGACAAAAGAAAGGCATGAAAATAAGTTAAGGAATATCTAAATTGAAGAAAACAACCTTAAGCATCTCAAAAAAAGTTTAACAAATTTTGTATAAATATATATGTAACACAATTGATTCAATATTTTCTATACCAACAACACAAAAAATTACAAATTTCTTATATTAGCAAAAAAAATGGATTCAAAGGGAGCAGCACCAAATCAAGTTTATGAAGATTTTGTGCCAACTACAGAGTTGGTGCAAGAACAAGACTCTGATACTCTTCTCCTTGATCTCACAGGTGATCTTCTTTTACTATTTTTTTCGATCGATGGAATGAGTTGTCGTCTCCTTATATATATTGTGTTTCGAGTGATATTTGCCTATGCGTGTTAGCTTTTGTGGTTGAGTCAGACTCAAAGTTTATTTCCTTATAGTTTCATGTTGTCGTAAGCTATGTTGCACAGACTCTCCAAATTTCAAAATTGTTGTTGCATGTGGAATCCTAAAAAAATCCTGTAATCCGACACACACCTGACGATATTTTGATTTTTGAAGAGTACAAGTAACACAAACTTTATGTCCTTAGCACAATGTCATTATTTTCATGGGAATCCCACAAAAATATCAGATGACATAATAGGATGTAAATGTCACATTTGTTGCTCAGACCATCCAAAAAATTTGCTGACAGATTTTTGAAGAGTCGAAGCAACATAACATAACATGTAAATGTAGCTTATATTATGGTCTTTTTTTACATTTATTGTGATGTTGAAATTGTGCAGGTTTCAGAAAGGAACAAGTGAGGGTTCAACTGACCAGAACAGGAGTTGTGAAGATCAGTGGACAAAGGCCAGTTGCTGAGGGCAAATGGCTTAGATTCCAAAAGGATTTCCCTGTTTCACAAAATTGCGACAAGACGAAAATCAGTGCAAAGTTTGAAAATGGCATTCTTTATGTCAAACAACCAAAACTGATAACTACTTCATCAGAGAAAAAAAATCAAGAACTGCCAACATCTGATGCTCAACAGCCCAAAGAAGAGCCACAACCAACGTCTCAGAAGAAAGATGAAGAACAAACAAAAGACGAAAAAACACAAACACCAGCACCAACAGAAGAATTGCCTAAACATCAGGCTACTAATGCTGAAAAGCCTGAAATGGAAGAACCAAACACAAAAGAAACTAAAGATCTTGCAAATGAAACACCTGCTGAGAATACTGGTGCAAATAGCACTGTGGAAGATGGAAATAAACCGAGTTATGCATGTAAACTTGATAAAGATGCATATACTGGAACTGCAGCTGTTCTAGCTGAGAAGCTGAAGATGCCAAGGAAATTGATGAACATGACTCTGATTGCTCTTTTGGTTCTTGGAATTGGCCTATATATCAGCAATAAGATGAAATCCAACAATTAAATAGCTGAAGTTGGGATATTTGCATTTCTCCCAGCTCATGTGAGTGTATATGAAGAAAACTCACTGACTACATGAAACTCTGATTGCTCCTTCTTCTCATTGCATTGCTGAATTGTATACATCAAACATTCATTTCAAAAATTTGTATCGAATAAAAATACAGTATGACATGATTTATACTAAGGTTTTCTGATATATGCCTGATGTGTGCTTATTATTAACAAGGAGAGTTAATGGTCAAAAACACACATGAACTATCGATTTTTCACGAGTTTCATATCCCAACTATCAGTTCCCTATTCCTATCTGAACTATCACCATCGTTCAGGTAGAAAAAGGGAAAAATTGATAGTTGAGGTGTGTTTTAATACATAGATGGTGATAGTTGGAGTAGGAAAATGGAACAACTGATAGTTGAGGTGTGGAACTCGTGAAAAAGTTATAAGTTAGGTGTGTTTTTTACCGTTATCTCAAGGGAAAATAAGATCTATGAAGAGTATATCTATGTTTTACGACTAACTATCACACCATGATAGAGGGAGGCTAAACAAGAAACTCCTCAGGAAAAAACATTCAGTAATGTAAGAAATTGTGAGGAGTTACTAACTACATGAACATCAGGAAGATGTGTTGCAGTTGAGGACAGTGAGCACAATAGACGAATCACATTTCAATCGAACTACTATGGTTTTTGATGGATTAAGAGAAATATAGATAACATAATAATTTCAAAGGTATGAATCTTGCTAGATATTAACCAGATAGCTAGAAGATATAAAAGCTCATTGACATTATTATATGACTATTTTTTGTCTGTCAACATTTTGCTTTGGAACATTATACTTAATAATAACACATCATTTTGGATGTGGGGGATTCTAGATTGAATCAAATATGTAATTCCTATTGAGGATGTGAAGGAGGGGGCTTCCTGATATGTGTTGCTTGTTCAAAACCATATGCAATTTCAATGAGTGTTGGCTCAGAACCCTTTAGTCCTCCAAATGAAATTCCAAACGGAGCTCCAGGTTTATCATAACCAGCTGGTACATTGATCCCTGGATAACCTCCTATCGCGAGAAGATCAGCAATGTCAGCACCAGGTGACATCAACGCGTCTAACTTATTTTCTTTCATTATCTTCTCGAACCCGTATTTGCATGCTTTTGTTATGTTCCTCAATGTCTCCCTTTCCAGTTTCCCTATTCCATTTGTCTTCTCAGCTTCCAACATTATGTCTTGACCATATTTTTTGAGTTTTTCCTGCAATGATATATAAAAAGAAACAAAAGATGACAAGGACAGTAAACAGTGAATCTGACCAGCTATTCGTATAAAGATCCTTAAAAAGAATGAAAATAGATAAATATCAATTCTACTTCTAGTGACATACATAGTTCAACTAATTTCAATTACCAAGTGAAAAGCTTTTAGTTCCTTGAATAATCTACTGCATTGGAGTGACTTTGGCCCAAATATGACAGAATGGTTACAACGATTCGTATAACATCTCAACAGTTAATTGATCGACTAATACTTACCAGAGCTGAAATTTTGTTGAAGGCTATAACATCTGCCAAGGATCGAACTTGAGTGTGGACTAAATGTTTAAGATATGCATTTAGGTCCATCTTGAATTCAGCAGAAAGTGCTATGTATTGACCAACAACAATGGCATTGTAGACCAAGTCGGTGTAAGGTATTACCAGGTTGTCAACTAAGACTGCTCCTTTTTGCCTTCAAATTGTTTTGTCCCAGAACAGAAGTTTGTCTCTATTAGGAAATCAAGCAAAACTAAACTATAGAAAGGCATAATACATCAATAGACACGTTAACTTGGCATCAATTGGTAACTAGATACTTCTAACTTAGAGGATGCACATCTAGACACATGAACTCGTCGATCCATTGTGTCAGTTGAACACTCCCAACTTATAAAGTGATCATCTAGACACCTCAAATATTTATGTGCCATGTCAGTGTCGGGTGTCCACGAGACACACCGGGGACGAGTTGAGGTGTCTAGATGTGCCCTCCCAAAATTTGAGTGTTCTTGTCAGTTGAGACCAATTTTGAGTGACTATCTGTGTATTATGACATACAGAAATGCAGGTTAAAAACCGAAAAGGTTACCTTAAGTTGTTAAAATGCTGTTGGTAAGTTTTGATATCATTGGAACTAAATAAGTCCTTTGAAATTCCTAGTCTTTTATCTCTGAGCCCATCAGCCTTAAGAAATTGCCGGTATCCACCATGTGGAATGTAAGTGGAAGACTTTTTAGTTGCTGCAAAATCATCTCGATCAAAGCCAACGATGACATCAAGAACCTCAACAGCATCAGTTACTGTCCTGCAGATTGGCCTGTTCTATGCAAATAAATTGTGTGAACATTTTCTATGTTGATGTTTGTTACCATGTTCTTTGCATATTTGCATCTCTAATGTACTCCATCCGTTCTAGTTCATGCGACCTATGTTCTATTAGTCCGTTCCAAGAAGAATGACACAACTCTATATTCAGAATTTTACTTTAAATTTCTCTTTTTACCCTTAATAAGAAGTTTCTATAGCCACAAAAATGTTATAACATGTTTAAGACTACAAGTTTCAAAGGCCAACACAAAAGACGAATCTTCTAATGATTCTGTCAAGAGGAAAAAACTTACTAATATTGTTGCCGTTCATGGTTATTTTGGCCAATTGATCTACCAATATGTTAGTTTGAATGACTCTCATTCATTACACTTCTTCCTTGCTACTTGGCACATACTAGGTATCTGGTTTACCGCTTTTAGGTATTAGCACTATGACTTTCAATCTAAATAGTTTCAATTCCAACCAATCTATAGTTGTTAGTACATGTCGAGTCAAACTATGTCACATAAATTGGTACGAGAGTACGAGAGTACGAGAGTACGAGAGTACGAGAGTACGAGAGTACGAGAGTACTACTAGGGAGAAATAGATTCAAAAAGATTTAATTTTTACATACCCTACAGTGTCTTGTCTATGTGAAATTGGGATTACACCTGCCCTGCTAGTGAGTCCTACAGTTGGTTTGATTCCAACAACAGAATTAGCACTTGATGGAAATAGAATGGAGCCTGCAGTTTCCGTCCCCAATGCTACTGCTGCCATGTTTGCTGCTATTGATGTTGCAGAACCAGTGCTTGATCCTGATGGATCAGCACTTGCTACATAAGGATCCTGTAAGAACATGAGTAAAAAGCATCTCAAAACAGTTTGAAAAGAGAATACAGAAATGAAAGCATAACAACAACGAAATATAGCGCTATGGAAAGCAGTACATAGCAAATAGAGAAAGAACAATAATAACAACGAACTAGTGCAATAACAGAAGCATAGGAGACACAGATGATAACAGCAACCGACGAACAAGAAACTACTAGAATAGAGCTAAAAACTATTTGTAAGAGAGTAGGTATCAATACCACCATCTATCCTACCCCGCATGAAAGCGAGAGAACGTTCAACTACCAACTACAAAAGGACAGTCTGATGAACAAAGCATTTCGCGTTCACGCTAGATCCAGCTAAGGCTTGCATGCCAACGGAGTGTGACACTGGTAGCCTGCCCTGACATAGTGATTGATTCCATGGCTCAAATGCGTGACCTATAGGTCAGGCCAAGACTTCACCATTCCTCCAACTTAAAGTCGAATACATTTTTTGATCAAATCATAGACTACTTCAAATCTTTGTTTCTCTTCATTTTTATCTTTTGCATCTTAACTAATCTGACAGAGGCGGCAAAATCGTTCAAGACCACAAAGATTAAAGGACATTTTAGTACGTAATCTTTAGTTTAAGACCACAAGATTCAAAAGTCATCTTTACTTTCTTAAACTCCTGCCAAGTCAAAACCAAACAAACAAATTGAAACGGAAGGAGTAATAAATATGGATATAACTAACTGACAATCACATGTTAAAAATTCACTAGTGGTAGAATAATCTTTATACCGTCAGTATATAACTTAAATTCTTATTCTTTTACCAATGACTCACCAGAGCCTGTCCAAGTCTACCATTCCATCCATTAGGCAAGTTTGTAGATCTAAAAGCAGCCCATTCAGTCATAGTTGCCTTGCCAAGTATGATAGCACCAACATTCCTCAACTTCTTGACAACACCAGCATCTTGTGGCACAATTGATCCGACAAGTGCTAATGATCCTGCTGTTGTGTTAAGCTTATCTTTAGTTGCAATGTTGTCCTTCACAAGAATTGGAATACCATGTAGCCTAAATAGTGATTTAGATGCGTTCAATTTTCGTTCTTGATCAGCTTTATCTGCAAGAAAGAGGGCATCTGGATTCACTTCTATGATACCTTTTAGAATTGGATTGGATCTCTGGATTTCACTTAGATAGAACTCAACAAGTTGTCTTGAGGTAAGTTTGCTTTGCTTGAAAGCTATATGAATTTCACCAATAGTTGTTTCTTTAAATGAGAATGTTTTTGCCTCAGTTTTGTTACTAAAGTTGGATAATATCAGAGAAATGAAGACAATAGCAAGAACAGACATTTTTTTGTTTGTTAAAGTGATTGAAGATGTTTGCTTAGTGTGTGTGTATAGCTAATTGTGGATCTTGGAGCAACGGTAATGTTGTCTCCGTGTGATAGGGTGGAGCCAGGTACAGCCAAGGGGTCCGTCCGAAAATGTTTTCGACGGAAGTTTACACTATGGTTAAAATTAATTTTGATGTATATATATAGTAGATATTGAACCCTCTTTTCCTTCTTTGTATGTTTAAGTCTTCATATTTTAACTCCCTTTAGTGAAAATTTTGGCCCGGCACTATGTGTGACCTATAGGTTATATTCTCGAGCTGCGTGGAATTAGTCGATAATACTTGTGTGAGGGTAGACTGTTTACATTACACCCCTCATGCAAGCATTACTCCTTCCGAACCCAAATATTAATCGTTTGGACAAACTAAATTTTTCCGAATTTTCAATGTTTTAAAATATAAGAAGTCATTTTCTTTTTTTTCTTCTTCCAAGTTTACCCTTAGTGCTTCAATTGGTGGAGTATTAATTAAATGAGACGTTTAAAAGAAAAAAAAGGTTAATTTAGATAAATATTTTTATAAGTAAAGTTATCTTTTTTGAGGAGCTACAAAAATCATAAAAAGATGGATAATAATCAACAACCACAACTTTCCCAAATCCCTTTGAGGGTCCACTAATCACTATCAAACTTTATTCTATAATCCTCTTTTAGGACAAGAATGCGTTGCACGTGACAAACAATTCAAGAATATAGATTATATATATAAATAATTTTAAAACATATACTATATTTCTTGGTACATATAATCATTGAAACTATTTTTTTAAATGACGAAAAAAAAACTTTATCTTATCTTAAAGGGAAAATGCATAAGTACCCCCAATATATGTCCGAAATCTCAGAGACACACTTATAATATACTAAAGTCCTATTATCCCCCCACCCCCCAAACTTATCTTATAAATAATTTTCTACCTCTTTTCGGCTCACGTGGCACTATCTTCTGGACAGTGCGTGTTGGCAATTTTTTCAATTTATCTGGTTGATAGTGTCACGTAGGTCGAAAAGGGATAGAAAATTATTTATAAAATAAGTTTGGAGGGTAATAGGACCTTAGTATAGTATAAGTGTGTTTCTAGAATTTCGGGCATAGATTGGGGGTACTTGTGCATTTTTCCTATCTTAAAACAAGTCATTTAAGAAAAATATTGTTGGAATCTCCAAAAGTTATTAATGTGTGTGTTTTTCTTTTTGGTACAATTTTTAACACCTTCCCCTATTTTTACTCCTTCACTATAAAAATATTATATTATATTTCACTTTTATTTGTTATTTTTGGTATATATAAAAAAAATTGCTTCAATTTATGTGATATTTTTCATATTTTGAAATTCAAATAAATTTATTTTTATTATTAATTTATTTAATATTTTTAAAAATATTTTAAATTATCAATTATTCAGACTTTTTACTTTTTATGTGATTTTTAAATATATAAATTTGAATTTCAAAAAACTTAAAATTCCATGCCCCAAATTCACAATCAAGCTTAACACCTTATTTGGATGGTTATTACTCGTTATATTATATTGTATTGTTAGTTCAAATACAATATTTGTATTAATGGTTACTTAAATTTTATCATATTGTATCATTAAATCCTTAACGATAAAAAGACTCATTTTATGTAACGACCGATTTGATGTTATTGTGTCGTTACCTTAATATTTTCATATATAACACATAAAAAATCATATTTGTATGTTATAGCTATAGTTTGCATAATTGCGCTCCATAACAAATTTTATGTTTTCTATGGAGCTTTTAATTTGTATAATTTGCTACAAACATCCAATTTTATACAAATTGTTCAGTTTTGTAGAAATTCATTTATACATTGTAATTTGTATAATAAGATCTGTATTTGTATAATTATAAGTATATAAGACAAAAATATATGTATTTGTATTTGTATATACACTTTTCTCTCGCATTATACAAACACAAACGTATTTAATACATTTTATATCGAAATGTATAAAATGGTTAATTGTATACCGAAAATGGCTAATTGTATACCGAATCAGATGACAAAAAAGGGGTTGTTTGCTGCGAATTACAATTAAAATAAATTATGGCTATAACATTTAATAGTTTGTTATTTCATACAATTTTCCCTTTAATAATCATATTTCATCTTTTATCCTGTCTTTTCATAATAGCTCTACTCTCTATTGCATACCCTACTTTTCTTGTAAGTTTATTATTCAAATTATGGATGTGTGACATTCTGTAATGACGAAGAACGACAGATCTATCCAAACACTATATTCATTAAAATAATACAATACAATACGATATATCATGAAACAATACGTAACAACCATTGAAATAAAGTGTTAACTATTTGATCCTCACCAACATGGGTTATGGTGCACTGGTGAGAGTGTTTCACCTGTAACTAAAGGTCTCGATTCGAGCCCTGGATATGAAGAAAATCATGTTGGGAGTGTCACCCCCGAATGGGCTCGCAATGTGTGATTGGATTTAGTCGGAGCTCCAACGTGAGCTTGGACACCGAGTGAAAAACAAAAAAAAACAATTTGATTCTCGAAATTCAAACTAAAAAAATAGTACTGTATCACATTAGTATGCTCAAACTCCATTTCTATAAAAAACAATTCTCAGTTGGTGTTTGATAGATATCAGGTCATCTTTGGTTGGCGCAAAGAGGGCGGCTTTCACTGTTTTGGGTATATACATATATATCGATTCATTGCTTGTCTGAAACATACCCATTAGCCAAAATGGTGTTTTTTCGTTCAATTTCAAGAGGAATTTCATCTTCATTGAGCAAAACTAGGTATGGGTATTATAGAAAATTGCGGTTCTTGAGCAATATTCCTGAGAACACAGTGTACGGGGGACCAAAACCCCAAAACCCAAATCAAAGAGTAACCCTAACGACGTTGAGGCAAAAGTATAAGAAGGGTGAAGCGATAACAATGGTGACGGGTTATGATTACCCATCTGGTGTTCATATAGATATGGCTGGAATTGATATATGTCTTGTGGGTGATTCTGCATCTATGGTGGTTCATGGACATGATACTACTTTGCCTATTACGATTGATGAGATGCTTGTTCATTGTAGAGCTGTTGCTAGAGGTGCTAAAAGACCTCTTCTTGTTGGTGATCTACCTTTTGGCACTTATGAGTCTAGTACCAAACAGGTAACAGCTTAATACTATTTTTCTGTGCAAGTGTCCTGCCACATGCAAGCTTTGACCCGCCCTGTCTTGCTGTACTGTAGATGTTGCCTATTTTTATGTATATGTTGTATGATGTGGTTGTTTTTAAGATTATCTTGCTTACACTTCTTTTGAGCTGAGGTTCTACTTGAAACAACCTCTCTGCACTACATTACGTTAGGTTAAAGTTCATGTATATGCGACGCTACCCAGACTGCAGTTATGGGATTACATTGTTGTTGTTTTTGTACATTGTATGATAGGATATGAAATGAGCTTAAATGATGTAGAGATTCATATAAATGACCTCTACTTGTTTTGGACGGAGATAGTAGATGTTGAATATCTTTGGCTTCTCCGTTTATGTATTTCTTTATATTTTGATTACCTTCAGTGAAAATTATTGCTCTGTTATTGCGGCTACTATCATAGATAATTGTGTAGCTATTCATAGCAAACCTTATATGGTGGCGTGAAATAGGGTAAATCACTTGATTTAATAGATTAAATTACAATTATAATGTGAAAATTTAGGTTGTCAATGTATATATGAATTAATCCAACAAGTAATCATTTGTTGTTCAGTTTAAAGTGAGAATTGTTGCTAGATTGCATCTATGGTATCATTGTGTTTTGTTTAAACTGGTGAGAAATTGGTTAAAGAAAATGAGGAGAAATAAGAGTTCTTTTTGTTCTTAGGAGTCTAGTGTTTGATAGGTGATGATTTGTTGCTCAAATTTGTCCAAGAATTGAAATATTGATTGAGCTTTATTATGCCTTTGTTATTTGTGTTAATGTAATTTCTTGTGTCATGTGATGTTACGTTTTTACTTATTTGGAATGGTGAGGCATTGGATAAAGAATGAAAATAGTGGATAATGAAAACCTAAGTTGCTCGGACTCTATACTTTTGGTGCCGCACCCGTGTCTACATGACATGGGTGTGGGTGTGGGATCCGTTTCCGGTTTGGTCAACCAATTTTGGGTACTTTGACCAAAATCGATGGGGAAAGTGTGGATAGTTGTAATCAATACAAAAGCTAAGGTGAAATTGAAGAAAATGGAATACAACAACAACAACAACAACATACCCAGTGAAATCCCACCAAGTGGGGTCTGGGGAGGGTAAAGTGTACGCAGACCTTACCACTACCCCGTGAAGGTAGAGAGGCTGTTTCCGGTGGACCCTCGGCTCAAGTACATCCAAACCAAGTAAGAGAAAAGGAAACATTATATAAAACATAACATCCAATAAGAAAACTAGTGCATAATCAACAACGGAGACAATAACATCAAGAAAATACTGTGAGAGGCGAAGCGCAGTAAACAACATATGGCTATAGGATCACAGATAAGAACTACAAGTGCCAGGCTAGGACTACTACAAACACTACCAACCCAAACCTTCGTAAGGACAGACAACACGCTAACCCTACTAACCTTCAACCTTAATACGTGACCTCCACTCCTTCCTATCTAGAGTCATGTCCTCGGTGATGTGAAGTTGAGCCAAGTCCTGTCTAATCACCTCTCCCCAATACTTCCTAGGCCTACCTCTACCCCTCCGCGTACCCTCTACCACCAGCCCCTCGCACCTCCTCACTGTGGCGTCTGCACACCGCCTCTTCACATGCGCAAACCATCTCAGTCTCGCTTCCCTCAGCTTGTCCACCACAGAGGCCACTCCCACCTTCTCCCGGATAACCTCATTCCTAATTTTATCGCTCCTACTGTGCCCACACATCCATCTCAACATCCTCATCTCCGCAACATGCATTTTTTGAACATGTGAGTTCTTGACTTGCCAACACTCCTCTCCATACAACAAGGCCGGTCTAACTACCACTCTGTAGAACTTACCTTTAAGTTTAGGTGGAACTTTCTTATCACACAAGACTCCAGAAGCAAGCCTCCATTTCATCCAAGCAGCCCCTATGCGATGTGTGACATCATCGTCAATGTCACCACTTCCTTGGATTACAACCCCAAGATACTTAAAACTTTCTTTCTTAGGAATGGTCTGTGTGTCAAGTCTCACTTCCCCATCTGCCTCATCCAACGCATCACTGAATTTGCACCCTAAATATTCCGTTTTGGTCCTACTCAACCTGAACCCTTTGGACTCCAGCGTTTGTCTCCACACCTCCAGCCTCGCATTAACTCTGTCCCGCGTCTCATCGATCAGTACTATGTCATCCGCAAATAACATACACCATGGGACCTTCTCCTGAATAGACCGCGTCAACTCATCCATCACCAAAGCAAATAGAAAAGGGCTAAGGACTGATCCCTGATGCAGCCCCATCTCAACTGGGAAATGCTCCGAGTCTCCTCCAACCGATCTAACCCGAGTCTTGGCTCCACCGTACGTGTCCTTTATCGCCCTAATATAAATCATCGGGACACCTTTAGCCTCCAAGCACCTCCAGAGGACATTCCTCGGTACTTTGTCATAGGCCTTTTCAAGGTCAATGAACACCATATGTAGGTCCCTCTTCCTTTCTCTATATTTTTCTACCATTTTGAAGAAAATGGAATACGTTTTATATAAAAATTTATGTCACCCCTTTTCCTTTAATCTCCTTCCAGGATTCTCCCCAAGTTCTCCACATAATATCTTACAATTTAGGTTTTATAACGCTATTTTTAGATATTTTAATTATGTTTAGGCGAATCCGTGCATCCGTATCCATACATGGATCCATATCCCCGAATCTTAAAAGTTAGATCATGAAGGATCCGACCTCTAGACCTGCACCCGTATCGTACACCGCACCCGAGTCCGAGTAACTTAGATGAAAACTATTCTTTTGGTAATAATGAGTCTTGTACTCATTAGGTGATCATTTCTAGCTCAATTGTTCCAGAATTGATGTTTTTATTGATTTTATGCCTTTATCATTTGCATAATTAGTTCTCGTTTCAAGTACCACTAACAAATTTATGTTTCTCTGTTGAACATATCACTAGAAATTAGAGCAGATTATACGTATAAAGATATAAGTGTGAGTAATCCTATTTAGGAAGTGAAGGATTTTTGAGAAACTGCATGAAAACACAGCCTCTGAAAACGAACTTTTGAAGGTATTGCTTTATCTGTCTCATACAAATGTTTGAGGACGTTGCTAATTGAACTTGCATTTGCATTCAGAGAATGTTGCTTACACATACAACAACCATTAAATGTTGCCTCTTCATATTGGTGTAAGGGGTCTTTTCTTGATAAGTTTCAATGGGATGAGAATGCTTGGTGATGTTGTGTTATGAGCAGGCAGTTGATACAGCTGTAAGAGTTCTAAAGGAAGGAGGAATGGATGCGATTAAGTTGGAAGGTGGGGCACCATCAAGAATTACAGCAGCTAAAGCTATTGTTGAAGCGGGGATTGCTGTAATAGGGCATGTGGGATTAACACCTCAGGCCATCAGTGTTCTTGGTGGATTTAGGCCTCAAGGCAGAAACATTGATAGTGCAGTCAAGGTATACCTATTAAAAGCTGATAGGGTACACATGAAGTATACAATCAAGGCTATATACTTGTTTTTATGAATTTTGCAGGTTGTGGAAACTGCGATGGCCTTGCAGGAAGTAGGGTGCTTTTCTGTTGTTTTGGAATGTGTGCCTGCACCTGTTGCTGCAGCAACAACATCTGCTCTTAGGATCCCCACTATTGGAATTGGCGCTGGGCCTTTCTGCAGTGGTCAGGTTGGTTGAAATTCCCAGGATTACTGATGATCTTTCCATTATATTTTCTTGTTGGAGTATATTTGATGCATTTAAGTGTTTATGAAATTATCAAATTATTGAGAAGAGAAAAAAATAAAATTATACCCCTTTCGTTTTTTGTATTAGTTATTAACTTTTTTTTTGCCGTGTTCTTTAAGAGATTATAAACAAAAATGACAATTTACTATTTTACTTTAAAATCATTTTTTGCAAATTTTTACAAATTTTGTTTACACTTTCAAGAAAAATTAATTGTTAGGATAATGAAAATAAAAAAGAATTATTGTTTAATTTTGTTAATTGACAAATATTTTAGTAATGTAAATAATTATATATAGGATAGAAAAATAATATTAAATGTTAAAAGTAGGATGAATTAGGGTATATTTCATAAATATAAAATTATTTAAAGATAAGGAAAGTAGCAAAATAATTTGGAACAACGGTTAAAAGAAAAAGAAGGTTGAAAAGCTGATTATGAGAGGAGCCTTAAACTCACTTAAACGTTCCAACAATTTTAAAAAAGAAAAAAATTAAAATATGTCAGGGGGATTTGATCCCACAACCTTAGGCTCAAATATACAACCTTTTACCATCGGCACCACAGAGCACTTTTGTACTGTGGGTGGCACGTTTAATATTTATCTATATGTGGTATATATATACCTATATATACATAAAGTTTCCGTCGAAGTTTGTGGGTGGCGTGGCACACCCACCGTACTGAATTGATCCGCCCCTGCTTGCGGTGACTAGTGATCTACCTAGAATGACTTTGCTACTTCATTTCATGCTCATAACATTAATATGATTTTCAATTTATGTGGTCATAATTAGAAGCCACTTATGGACAGGATGACATTCCTACTTCATTTCCTGTCATGAACTCATGATATTAGCATGCTTTGTCAATGTCTTCACTCTCCAGCAGTAGCACAATCATTTGTAACGATTGACAGTTTAAGGTTATTTAATCTCATGTCCTAATAACGCAGGTGCTAGTTTATCATGATCTTCTTGGGATGATGCAACACCCGCACCATGCCAAGGTTAGTACAACTAAATTTACTCTGAATCCGGAGTCAAATTCTCTTTTTCTTACTCTTAGCGCTATCTGTATGAACTATATTCCATGTACCAATTAAGAACTGTCTATTCCTTTTGCAGGTTACTCCTAAGTTCTGTAAGCAGTTTGGACAAGTTGGAGATGTTATCAACAAAGCTCTTCAGGAATACAAGGAAGAAGTCACTAATGGTTCATTTCCTGGCTCTGCTCACAGCCCATATAAGATTGGTGCAGCCGATATGGATGGTTTCTTAAACGAGTTACAGAAGTTGGGCTTCAATGATGCAGCTTCAGCAGCAGCTGCTGCCGCTGAGAAGATTCAGACAAGCTGATTTTTTAGTATGCTTGGAGCCAACAAGTGCTATTATACTGAGCTGATACCTTGCCGTCTCTTGCAGATGGGGAGAGTCCCAAGAGAAGAGGCTTTCATTTAGTCGATTAAAATTATATGTCCAGAACTGGAAACAAGATTAGAGTTCCTTTTAGAGTAGGCCAAAAGAAGATGGTGATGATAGCAACACCATTTCTATATTTTTTTTTAGGAAGAAAGCAGTCAAGTCTGCAGTGTACATAAGGTGAAATGTTGAACCCAATCGATAAAATTTTATTTGGGGAGAAATGTCTTAAGCTATAATGCATGTTAATGGATGTTTGCATTATACAAATAGAATTCCTAGATACTGCATTTCCTACCTTCTTTTTTTGCTTCCCACTCGGTGTTTGATACTTGCATTGGAGTTCGATAAATTCAAATTTCCAGTGGAAAGTCCCACATTAAGAAGTAAATAACTCTCTAACAAAGGTGATTGCACATTCAGGGTTTGGACCCGAGGATATTCTACTTGAGAATCTCTAATCTCAGGTCAGTTCCCATAGCAATTGATCCTGTAATTGTTTATTCTTAGGTAGAGATCTCGAATTCAAGTCTTTTGATTAAATTTCGATTTCATATGAGTAATCAACTGGCTTTAGATCACAACCAATAATGTGATAGTCCCCTTATTTATTTGTAACAAAGTTAATTGGATGTCTCATGGAAATGATCTCATATGCTCACTAACAATTGGAATAAAATAAGATGTTTCTATATACATCTCCTAACAAGAAAATAACATTTGTAATGGACTACAAAACCAAATCTTCCGCAAAGGCAGTTGGCTATATATGATGAGTTTCTTTACTAATCGCGACAAAATTCACAGAAATCATCAGGAAGTCTCTTACATAAACAAACATCTATTCTTCTTTCTAGCATTTCCAATCTTTTCTCAAATGCCAATACTCCAACATGCATAGTCCTAACATCAACTTGTGCAACCTTAGCACAAGATCGAAGTAATATGTAATAATCAGCATGTACTGCATAAAGATAAGCCCCATCTTTCTTTCTAGCATACCTGATGTACCCGTCTTTCTTCTTCACATTTTTCCTCGGTGGTATATAAACAAATCGATTCTCTTTCATATCTGCTTTCAGCTGTCTTAATGTCGCGTTTGAATCACCATCGTCCCTTGACATTTTGCATTTGCATTTGCATGCATCATCCCTAAAGTTCTCGCTTTCTTTTGGTGTGCTGCTGCATCCATGTCTGAATCCGCTATGGTGAAAATTGTTACAAGTGTGGGAGTCTGTTTTCCCATCTTCTGATGCTTTGCCAGCCTTATTTTAAAAACGAAATATAATTCAGCTATTAAATATTAAACAAACAAAGACGAGTATAGGAACCCCGCGAAAGACAAATAAGAAAACAATACTGATGCAGGCAGAGCTAGTTAGCAAGTACACTAACCACAAATCATGTTACTTCACCAAAACTCCGTATTTAGGTGGTTAAACATTATTTAGTGTGTTAACTCAATATCTCACCATTGATTTCAATCTATTTGGGATTATGTAGGTGATACCTGAAAATGTAAAAGACACGCTTAACAGCTGGTAGCGCCAGAGTCACTAGGAGCAGGGAAAGACTTGTAAAAAATGGGTTAGTTGGTTGTTTGACCAACGGAAAGCATGGAAGAGAAGTCCACGAAAGAACAAGAATCGGCAACTTTCTAGAGGTATCTTCCTAATCCTTGCCAAAGAAGGCTGAGAAGGTTGGGATGCAAGGTGGTTGTCGCTCAAGGAACTATTGAAGTATACTCCGTAAAAGAGTCATGTGTGTCGAAGAAATGGAATGTCATTCCATTGTGCATCTTGTGGACAGTTGGGCCTGAGGGAAACCATAGATATTTTGAGGATAAAATACAATCCTTACCTTTTGTGAAGTTCAGGTGTTTACAGAACAAGTACTCGTGGTGCATATGTGAACCCTGTAGATGATCCTAACTTGTTAGTGAAACTCGTAGACTATCCCTACAGGCTCAGAGGGAGAATCTAAGTACATTTCTGTTTTTCTAATTCTATGCACTGGCTTAATGCTATCTTTTGATAATAAAATCTAGCTTTAGTCATCTCTTCTTTGAATGTCAGGTGACAAAGGCATTGTGGAGTAGATTGTGTGGATGGCTGGGGTTTCACAGAGTTATTCAAGATTGGGAGACTGAACTACGATGGGCATGTATGATGACAAAACAGAGAATATAACCACATATTGACGAGGTTTTACGGATGTGGGTGCAAGATCGTATAAATCAACCTTAATCACGGGGAAACTAAAATACCTTACGGCTTTGATAGGAGTCCCAAAAAACTTCTATTAGTTTTTTTTCTTCATGATCGTCGTAAGCAGGTCCTAGTCCAGCGAAAACCACATCTTTTCAGTGCGGAAGATATGAATATAAATCTTTTGAAAATTCTGTCAAACAAGAAAAGAAACTTTTCTTCAATAATTTTCAAGAGTTTCAAAGCATCAGAATTAGATTTACTCATATCTGATGTACTGTCATGAGGATCCGAATCACGTGAAGCAGAGTCATCCTCGGCAACAGCACCTCTTGCATTGCAACTGAAACCGCATTCTCCAGCTCCATTCTCAACAGCAGACACTAAATTATTGGAACAAGATGCAATCAATTCCCATTTTCCACCATTTAGGTCATAAAGAATCCTCATTGTCACAATCAGTATAGGCATCACACAAACACGAGAAGGCAGCCTGGAGTCATTATCTGATAAATACAACTCTGGAGGCATAGACCACTCATACACTTGGCATGCCTGAGGAAGAATTTTCTCAACAGGAAGCGATAAATGCTTAAGATAACAGGAAGCTATAGCATGGAAGTTCACTGAAGGCAATTCCAAGCCTATTTTCCTGGCGATTGAGGCAGCAAGGGACTCTTAACTTTTGTAAGGTGACAGTTCTGATATGCCTGAACATATGAATGGTACTGATAGGGCAGAACCTTGAAGGAGGTCCCAACTGGTTCTCTATTTCAAGAAAAGCAGCAAAATATGGGAGCTTTCCTTCTAAGGTCCACTTCAATATGTCTGTTGACAAGATTGCTTCCCTTGCCACGTGACAGACAAGAAAAGAGATAGCCAGAGAACAAGGTAATGGAATCATGCTGCTCAAATATGCCATATGGTTACTGCCCGGTTTCCAAATAAATTGTGAGGTTCTGTTTTCTGGCTGCCAGTCGGCTGAGAAAGTTCTACTTCCCCAGAAATAAATACCGAAATTAGGTTCTAAAAGGGAAAGGTGAATATAGAAAGGAAATTCAACCTGCATAATATCACAGAGTTTACACCAACTGACTTCTCTCACTCAAGACATAGAAAACTTTGCTAGACAGCCAGAGTATATGATTCAGAAGTTTGTCATAAACAGTGTAAAAGGCGACAAAAGATAAGAGAGGACAAAACATATTTTCCTTCATGCTATACAAATTAGATCAAAAGTGAAGGACCAACATCCTAGAAGAAATTTCATTTTCGTTTACACAAGATTACCCATTAGAAACCAAGTAGATATGCTGAAATACTAATCTTGCATTTTTCAAGTAGTGTTTCAAAAGAATGCAAGTGACAACAAGCATAGTAGTCGAACGAGCAATGTTAGGCTAAAATTAATTTATAAATCATCAGCTTCTAACTAATGATTGTTAACAAATCCTACAGAAACAAGAACAGGAAAATATCCTGATAATCAAAATGAGACCTTGAATTTGAGACTCTGATTCATGGATGACATTTCAGCGGGATTACGTTAAATTTCTCCACCAGAGTATTGCACTGCATTTGGATCATAGCTTGTAACCCCATAACATACCTCAACCGGATCTCTGAATAATAGTCTGTGTAAGTCAAAGAAATTTGAGATGATCCAAAATCACTAATCACTGCAGGCCCAACTCCATCAATCATCTCCATTATGGCAATGACGGCGCTGACGACTAGTAGAGTATATTCCCAGAGGCGTATCTAAGGGGTCACCGGATTCACGTGAATCCATGGTCCCCTCTCGAGATCATATATAGTAGTGTTATATTTTTGGCCTTTATTAAAAAAAAATGAAATATAGATGTGTGAACCCACACTTGAAGTATCACATAATGCGATTATGACCAGGTGCACCTCTCTCCGCGAGGTTAGAAATTTGAATTTTATATTTATCTTGTTTTATTTTTCTTTTTAAAATTAGGTTACACTTCTCTGGTAACTGCTATATATATTACTATATAAGAAGAGTGAATAAGCACACTCTTCATTGGCCTATCACAAAGATGACCCACCTACTTTTATATACTCCTCTTTCATTATATTTTAATTTTTCCTTTTTAAATAGTACTAAAAAATAAATTTAAAATATTACAAATTCGATTAACTCTCGAAATTTTACGCGAATTGTTAATTAAGACGAAGGGAATAACATATATTACTATATAAGAAGAGTGAATAAGCATACTATTTTTATACACTCCTCTTTCATTACTATATAAGAAGAGTGAATAAGCACACTCTTCATTGGCCTATCACAAAGATGACCCACCTACTTTTATATACTCCTCTTTCATTATATTTTAATTTTTCCTTTTTAAATAGTACTAAAAAATAAATTTAAAATATTACAAATTCGATTAACTCTCGAAATTTTACGCGAATTGTTAATTAAGACGAAGGGAATAACATATATTACTATATAAGAAGAGTGAATAAGCACACTACTTTTATACACTCCTCTTTCATTATATTTTAATTTTTTCCTTTTTAAATAGTACTAAAAAATAAATTTAAAATATTACAAATTCGATTAACTCTCGAAATTTTACGCGAATTGTTAATTAAGACGAAGGGAATAACATATATTATTTGAAAAATTACATTAAGAATACCATAAACCACAATAGTTAACAACTTACAATATTTGAAAAACATATTAACTCTCAAAATTTCACATGTCTCACATAAATTTGGACAAATGGAGTAACATATATTATTTGAAATTACGTTAAGAATATTATTAATCACAACTTAAAGTATTTAAAAATAGATAACATATATTATTTGAAAATAATGTAAAAAATATTATAAATCATAATAATTAACAATTTAACGGATATTGTGCCCGTGCTTGCATTTAGAAGTGAGAATGTTTAGGAGCTTAGGGTCAGTCAGTCAATTGACCGATTTGCCCTTCTTCTTCAACTTCCTCTATTTACTACAAAAATAGTACTAAAAATCAATTTAAAATATTAAAAATTTGGTTAATTCTTGAAATTTCACATGTATTACATAATATAATAGAGTGAGTAACATATATTATTTGAAAATTATATAAATAGTACTAAAATATAGTTTAAAATAGTACTAAAAATTTGATTAACTCTCGAAATTTCATATGTACTGCGTAATTGAGATTGAGTGAGAAATATATATTATTCGAAAAATAGAATAAATATGTGATATTATTAGAAAGAGCTTTAATATATATTTTAAAAAATTATTTTGTCTTACGTATATGATTTTCTGCATATATGTGGAGTTTTAAAGTTTTTAACATTTTAATATAGAAATATGATTATTTGAAAATTTTAGTACTTTCTTCATTTAAATTTTTCCATGTTTTTCTTTTAATTTGTTCTAGATTTAAAAATTACATAAAAAGTACTTAAAATCACAATATGTAATAATATAAGATATTAAAAAAAATATAATTAAAAATCATAAAAGAAATTTTATTGATTCTTTAATTCCATATTGAAACAAATGAAGTTTGTTTGAAAATAACATAAAAAGTACCGTAAATTAAAGTAAAATAACAACTAAAAATATTTAAGAATCATATAAGAAATTTAGTTGAGTTTCATAAAAGTACCTACGTCACATAAAATGGAACATAAAGAGTAATATATATTATTTGAAAATGATATAAGAAGTGCTATAAATCACAATAAATTAACAACTTCAAAATATATTTAACAAAATCACATACAAAAAATTATATAACTCTCCAAATTTCATCGGTGTCACATAAATTGAAACAAAGAACTACTCCCAATTTATGTTACTTACTTTCCTTTTTAGTCAGTCCCAAAAGAATGTCACATTTCTATATTAAGTAACAATTTGATTATAAAATATTTATTTTACCCTTGATGAAATAATTTACAGTCATACAAACTTATATCATTCATTTTGGACGACAAGTTTTAAAAGTTTTCATTTCTTTTTTAAACTCCGTGGCGAATCAAACTACCTCACATAAAATGAGACGGAGGAAGTAATATATATTGGGCCCGCGCTGGCGTGGGAACCTAATATCTAGTATATATATATATATAAGAATTAATTTTAGACCTATAATTTAAAAACTTTAACGATTTTCAGTAGTAAAATCCTAAATATCGAATCGATCAAATTTATATCATAAATCAACAGTTTTATAACAGTGCATCCATCATTTTAAAATCCTGAATACGCCTCTGTTAATATTCCCCCATCATCATCAACACCCGTGTCAATGATGTCATTTGCTTGAGAGCCGCAACCAGTGCAATAGAAAAATCCATCACCACCATCGTCAAAGGATAGATTGGGACAAACCTCGCGGCATCTTTGAATCTTCTCTGTCATTCTAATTAATTGTATGGGTCATTGATCGAATCCTCTGCATTAAAGCACCAATTGTTACAATCAACAAATGTAAGGTTGTGTACATCACTCTGTTATCTCTTGTATTCAGGTTAGTCACAAATACAGAAAAAGAAAAAGATGAAATAGACAGAATAATTTTTAATCCGAGTTCACAGAAATCACTGTGTTTTCTTAAGAAATTTAATCCCCTCACTATACCCGAGATTGTAGATTAATTTCTCCCAAGATAAAACGAATTAACCTGTTAAAGAAGTAGTAGCGGTACCTCAAACTTCAATAACTTCAGCGAACGCAAGAACAGCAACAAGAACACACACAGACTCAGTCAATCGACAATTTTGTTTATGTAAGAAAATGTATGCAGAGAGGAAAAAATTTCAGTGTTTGAAAAATGAAAATGACCTCTTATTTATAGCCATTAGCAGCAAGGAACGCGTCTGTTCAGACAAATCTGTTCAGACCTGTTTTTTCCAGAACGTTGTGTCTTTTGGAAAAAGTAACGACTTTTTGGAAGGAACAAATCCTTTCAAACGAATTTACCGTTACGCACGAATTTCAAATAATTCGTTGCGAAATTAATTATGTTATTTAACTAACATCCTGAATTAATTTATAAGAGAAAAGAAATGAATTAACAAGATTAATTAAATAAATTTTGCCCAAAAAAATATTATCAATCAATCACTTGCCAAATCCAAATCCGAGGCCGAGCGACGACGACGGCGTGAGAGGCACCTTCTTCTTAACCCCTTAAGAACTAAATGAAGTGTTTCCTAATATATGAACAACAATTTCTTTTCTTCTACCAATATGGTAAAAATGACTTTTCATTTTCCCTCAAAAATTGGTTTCCCCACTTTCATTGGTTCTTCCACTTTCCATTTTCTCTTTTTATTTCCCATTCACACCTTCTTGCTAAACCCAACACACTCTACCCTCCCCAAACTTCACTTGTGGGATTACATTACATTGTGTACTTCACAGTAGTTTTCACCTGTATCATTGTTGCTTATGGTGTTTCATTATTACATGATTTTTTTGGATAACCGAGAAATCTATATGTGACCCGCCCTTTGGATCAATCATATTGTACTTTTGCATTGTTCCTTGTTATTTGTTATATTCTCTACAGTGTCTCATTTTTCTATATCTGGATTTATTGCACTCGAGCCTAGGGTCGTTTGGAAACAATCTTTGTACCTCTACGAGATAGTGGTAAGGTCTGCATACATTCTATCCTCCCCAGACCTCACTTGTGGAATTTCACTGATTATGTTGTTGTTGTATACTTCCTAGACAAAAACACACTTGTTAAAAATATCCCTATTTCTAACCGACGAAAAACTAAAAAGCTTAAAAATTCATACTTTTCCTACTTATTTGATATCAAACTTGTGATCTATAGGTCAAATACGAAGATAACCTTATTGTTGCTCCAACAATTACCCATAAGAAGGTTGTGTACATACCAATCTATATGTTTCCATACTCAAAAGGGTCAGTTATGCCCTAAAATTTATTCCTACCAAACATCAATTCTATATGTTAGCAATCACAAAACGAATGAAAAAACAAAAAACATAATAATAAATTTACTAAAATAGCACTTTTGGTCTCTGTTTCTTCTTCAACTTTAGCTTCATAAATTTTAAATAAGAATAAAAAATAATATTTAAAATCTATGGCCAAATGCATATTTAATTAAAATACTCTAATGATTAGATTGATGAAACAATGAAATTATAAATATTGAAAAAGTGCTATTAAATTCATGAAATATAATATTAAAAACTACACTTTAGCACCAAAAATAGAATCAATCTCAATAAACTAGAGTTTTTAGTTTGCCTTGTTAGTTATTGAAATATGTTGAATATATGGAACAAGGGGCCCAGAGCTTTTATGACTATGTTGAATGCTAAAAAACAAAAACAAAAACAAAAATAGTCTAATAAAATAATTTTTAGCCCTACATCTTATTTTATTTGTAGTTTATCCATCCGGTGTAGACTTTATACCGAGTGATTCGAATCCGAAATTTCTTGATTAAAGAACTAAAAATATCACAGAAGACAGAGTAGAAATCCAAATACCCCAACTTTGGTCTGAAAAAATAATGCAAAATTATAAATAGTAATGTGTCTACGTGGACACATATATACCTTTAAAATACACTGTTAAATAGTTCAAGGGGTAAAAAATACGGTATTAAATAGTCTAGGGAGGTAATAGGTCCTTATGAAAGTTTAGTATGACAACAGCAAATCCAACCAAAGTTGGGATATTTTTCAAATCCTTATCCCAAAAAATAACTTAAAATAAGTTAGGAAGTGGTTGATTAGGTTAAAATGACTTAAAATAAGTCAAAAACTAAAATAGATCTCTCCTACTTTTTATTATTTAATTTAAAATTATTTCAGTTTAACTTTTTATTTTTTACTTAAAAACTACTCCATTTTTTTTTAAAGTCAATTCAAACAGACTCTTTGTCCTTAGATTTTAGTTATTTGCCTATTTAGGTTTAGGGCTCCAAAATTTAAAATGGGTTGGGTAAAATTAAAATATATAAGTATTATTTATATTTATTTAATAAAACTTTGATTCTTCGGTTGTACCGTAGTTTCGTGACCCTATATCGAACACCAAATTGAAGAACCGAAGTTTCTAGGAAAAAATCAACATCGAATCGAAACACCTAAGAATCGACACAAAAAAATTGAATTAGATTTAATTTGATTTTTTGATTTTTCGATTTTTCGATTTTTCGATATTTATGTCTTATAGGACCATCAAAGTGAAACAAATAAGGTAAAAAAAAATTCCATTGTTGGGAATCAAGAGTAAGTAACCCCATTACCTCATAATTTGTCATATTCCACAATAGATATATAGACACCCTCCATGGCTCTGCATAGTTTCTTACTTGGGACCACAATTTGCCCCTTTTTAATGTCAAAAAAAGACTGGCTTTTTTGTTTTCAAGAAAAGAAACCTCTACCTTCTTGTCTTGATATTGTAAAAGAGAATGAAGTCAAAAACTTTTCCAGCTCACTTGTATTTACACTGTTACACTTACCTAAACTCTACTCTCTTCCCAACCCACAAATTGTTTATACATGTAGTGAAGATGGGATTTGGAAGAAGAAAAAAAAGTTAATAAAAATGGTGTCTTTATTACTAGTATACTAGTGTCTTTCTCACTCACCTAACCCCATTTTGCTCTGATTTGTTTTTTGCTCTTCAAGAACTTAGCTTTAGATACATTAAAGTTTGGTTTTTACTTAAAGTTCTGTCCTTTTCATCTTCCTGTTTACAGGACATTACATTACTGTATCAATTGTAGTACTTATCATTCTTGGAAGTAGTTAGTCAAAATTGTGTCTAAATGAAAGGTTTTTGGTGGTCTACTGTTTCTTCATTTATATAAGGAAAGTTGGTTTGACTAAAATAACAACCCCTATTGACTTGCTTATGGTATAGGGAAATGTAGGGTCTCTTGCTTTTGATTTTGATGTATTGGTTATTGGTGAGTGAATTTAATGGTGGCAATTTGCATTTTGGGACATTATTGGTGTTGCTGTTGGACTTCAATGAATTTAGTGACTGGTGTTGTTGCTGCTTGTTCTTTTATCTAGGTTTATATATACTCTCTTATTTCACTTACATAATGATTAGTGATGATTGCAGTTTGTGTTTAAAAATTTTGCTAATTCATTTTCTGGGATTCTTGAAATGATTGTGCAATCCTGTCTTTCTACTTGGTGGGGTTTGTCTGCTTTCTTGGCCCATTCTGAATTATTAGCTTGTCAAAAATGGTGTCTTTTTTCCTTTTTAGTTCAGTATTATATGTAACTCTCTGCTAGTGTCACACGGGTTTTTCATTGGGAGGAAAATAAGAGGAGGAAATGCAATCTACCATTTGTTTAGTGCTGCTATTTTTAGTTGAGTTAGCTAAAGGAAGCTTAGATTTGGATGCTCTTTTGGAGTTTAAGAAGGGAGTTTTGAAAGACCCTTCTGGGAAAGTCCTTTCTTCATGGGATTCTAAGTCATTGGGACCAAATGGTTGCCCCCAAAACTGGTTCGGTATCGGTTGCAGTGATGGCCATGTCACTTCAATTGAACTAAATGATGTAGGTCTGGTTGGAGTTTTGGATTTTGCAGCTATTAGTGGCCTAAAAATGCTGCAGAATTTGTCTGTTGCAAACAACCAGTTAAGTGGGAAAATTACTGAGGAAGTTGGGTTGATTATGTCATTAGAATTTTTGGATCTTTCCAAGAACATGTTTAGAGGTTCTATACCCTCTAAGCTGACTAGTTTAAAGAACTTAGTATCTCTTAATCTTTCTTTAAATAGTCTCGATGGAATGGTTCCCACTGGTTTTGGTAGTCTTGAGAAATTGAAGTATCTGGATTTGCACTCTAATGCCTTCTCAATTGATATTATGCTTCTTCTGGCCTCATTGGGGGATGTAGAGTATGTAGACCTCAGTAGCAACAAGTTTGTTGGATCACTTGACCTGCAAGTAGGAAATTCGAGCTTTGTCTCGTCAATTCAATATCTGAACATTAGTCATAATAACCTGGATGGAGAGCTATTTCCTCACGATGGAATGCCATATTTTGACAGTTTAGAGGCGTTTGATGCAAGTGACAATCAGCTTACTGGTACTATTCCGTCCTTCAATTTTGTAGTCTCCCTTCGAATTCTTAGGCTCGGGAACAATCAGTTGTCTGGATCACTCCCCGAAGCTCTTCTAGAGGATAGCTCAATGATTTTATCAGAATTGGACCTAAGCCAGAATCAGCTTGCAGGTGTGTTGATCCTTTCTTCTTTAGTTAATTTGTTTGGTTGAAGTCAATCTAAGTAATCTATGGTTAATTACTACTCCCTTTGTCCCAATTTATGTGACACTTTTTGTTTTTCGAGAGTCAAACAATTTAAGTTTGACCGGAAATTTGCACGTGGAATCTTCAACTTTTTTGAAATGAAATTTATATATTTGTAAACTACGTAAAAAGTACTGTAAGTCACAATAATTGGCAATTCAAAATAATTAAAAGATATGTGATAAATTTACGGTCAAAGATAGAATTGTTTGAATCTCGAAATCCGAAAAGTGCCACATAAATTGGGACGGAGGGAGTACTATCTATGATCTGAGGTTGTTGTCAGTTAGATAACAAATGAATAATATTTAGACTGCTATCTGCTGGAAAGCATGCTTGTTTTGGTTGCAATCAAATGTAATGTATAGAACACAATTCCTGAGCACTTCGGAATTGTGTTCTAGAGGAATGCTGTACAATTCTCTGCTTATGTGTAATTATCATACACATTGTTCCCAATTCTTCCCTAGGTTGGAGATATTTCATACTTAGACTCAACTCTAAGGCAATTATTGCTGTAAACTTGCATTTTAATTAGTGGAATGTTCCAGTGTCTTTTTGATTATTTTTTTTGCTGCATTATTAATTTCATCTCTCCTCGAGCCGAGGGTCTATTGGAAATAGCCTCCCTACCCTCACAAGGTAGGGGTAAGGTTTGCATACATGCTACCCTCCCCAGACTCCACCTATGGGATTATACTGGATTTGTTGTGGTTGTTGTTGTTTGCTGCGTTATAAACAAGCTGCATAAAGATATTCTTCATGTGGTTGGAGTTCTGGTGTATTTTAAGTCTTTCGTTGTTCTTTTAATTATTATATTTAGTTGTTCTTACCACAGGCCTAAACCAAGCTACTTCCTTTCCAAACTATTTCATGAAGCCATTTGCTATTTTGGCAGGTCCCATTGGAGGTATAAGTGCTGTGAATCTCAAGCTTCTAAATTTATCATATAACCAGCTCTCAGGCCCCTTGCCTTTCAAGGTTGGGCGCTGTGCCATCATAGACCTGAGCTACAATCGGCTAACTGGAAATGTGTCCCGGATCCAAGGTTGGGGAAATTATGTTGAAGTTATTGTGTTAAGCTCAAATGCATTGACAGGAGCCTTCCCCAACCAAACTTCCCAGTTCTTGAGGCTTACTTCGTTAAAGATTTCAAACAACTCACTTGAAGGTGTGTTACCAACTATGTTAGGTACATACCTCGAACTTAAAACAATTGATCTTAGCATTAACCAACTTAGTGGTACTCTCCTTCCCAGCCTTTTCAACTCTACCAAATTGACTGATATTAACGTTTCTTTCAACAAATTTACCGGTAGTGTACCTATCATGGCATTTAACTCAGAGAATCTAAGCTTGATTTCTCTAGATGTTTCACATAATGCATTAGCTGGTCCGTTACCTCCGGGGCTGGACAAGTTCCCGGACATGGTAAACCTGGATCTCTCTGATAACAAATTTGAAGGTGGCCTTCCTAATGATCTCTCAGACAAATTGGAATTTTTTAATGTGGCTAATAACAATTTTTCTGGACCTGTGCCACAAAATTTATGGAGGTTTCCTGACTCCTCATTCCATCCGGGAAATCCCTTGCTTGTACTTCCAAAGCACACCAAAGCTCCTTCAGAGGGAGATTCAACTTTAAGCTTGAGAAGTCATGGTTCTCGCATGAAATCTACCATCAGGGCTGCCCTCATTGCTGGGCTGATCTGTGGTGTATCTGTTATAGCTTTGTTGACATTAATAATCTACCGCAAGGCCCATCAGCGAGATGGCGGGAAGGATGATATGAAAGGAACCAAGGAAAAGAAAGGTATGGAACTATTCTTCTTCTAATAAGACAGGTGATCAGATCAACTGATACTAATGCCTTTTCATTTCCACAGGTTTGTCTTTATCTGATATAGAATGTGGACATGACACTAGAGAACACAGCGTGCCAGTATCAACAGTTCAAAATGAGCCATTATCTTCACCTATATCTGTCATGTCATCCGCCAATCTCTCTCCTTCTAAGGTTCAAGATCAATCCAAAAGCCCAAATTCTCTCAGGGTTTCTTCTCCTGATAAACTGGCTGGAGATTTGCATCTACTAGATAATGCCTTGAAGGTCACTGCTGAAGAATTATCGTGTGCTCCTGCCGAAGCTGTGGGCAGAAGTTGTCATGGAACATTGTATAAAGCTACGCTTGGTTCAGACCAAGTACTTGCTGTCAAATGGCTTAAGGAAGGGATAGTGAAAGGCAAGAAGGAATTTGCTAGAGAAGCTAAGAAACTGGGGAGTATTAGGCATCCTAATTTAGTTTCTCTACTGGGTTACTACTGGGGTCCCAAGGAGCATGAGCGGCTTCTCATATCAAATTACACCGATGCACCATGTTTAGCTCTTTATCTTCTTCGTAAAGGTCAGTCTCCCCTTTTCTATATATAGAGTATATCACCTGCATCTATTTCTGTAGCTTTTCTGATTTTTGTGTGGTGCTGAATTCGTGATCCAGTTTTACCAAAGAAATTAGTAGTACTCCTTCAATGAAATCAAACATAATGGACCGTGAATGCACACAACCTTGAATGTGTATATTGTAATTGTAGTTGTCAAGATTGCTCATACCTGATATGCTGAAGTTTAATCACCATCTTGCCACTTGATTTCCATTCTGGTGCCTCAAGTGTACTTTTCTTCCAAAAGATATTCTAGCTTGCTGGTTGAATATGTATCTGAGACTATTAATACACATTTCACATAGCAACTTTCATGAAATTTATAAATGGAGCTATCTTCCAAAATTTGAACTTTTCAATTCATATATATTAGCAATGTTAGAATTACACATAGCAGAAAAGATACACACCTGTTTTTTGCTTTCATGGTAATACTAAAAGGTAAAACAGTTCCACCTTCGCTAATTATGCCTTGATGTTGATAGTAGGAGAGTCAAAAGTCGAAAAGAGGATTCCTCTCTTGTTTCTCTCATTCAAAACTGTGCATGAGACTTTTATCTCACATGGCTCATTTTGTATTGATTACTTTGGTTGGGCTCGATTGATGTCATTTTGATAAGGGCATCCCGGTGCACTAATTAGAGACTGCTACTTTGAATTCCGCTTATTGCATATAGCACTGTACTTTGTTTTCTAGTTTTGAGTGATGATATGGATGCCGGTTTCATTCTTTGATGTATGCAGATGCAGAACCCTGTAAGCTACATCCTTTATCTCTCGATGATCGACTCAAGATCTCTGTAGATGTTGCTCGTTGTCTAAACTACCTTCACCATGAAAGTGCCATACCTCATGGCAACCTGAAATCCACAAATGTACTTATAGACACGTCTACCGTGAATGCCCTACTAACTGACTATAGTCTTCATCGGTTGATGACATCTGCTGGAACAGCTGAACAGGTTCTAAATGCCAGTGTACTCGGTTATCGTCCACCTGAATTCGCGAGTACAAGTAAACCTTGCCCGTCATTGAAAAGTGACGTCTATGCTTTTGGTGTTATCTTGTTGGAACTTTTGACTGGAAGAAGTTCTGCAGAAATTGTTCCTGGGAACTCAGAAGTGCTGGATTTAACCGAATGGGTGAGATTATTGGCCTTTCAAGACCGTTCAATCGAGTGCTTTGATCCATTCTTATTAGGAAAGCAAAGCAACGACGAAGACATGCATACTATTCTTGATAGCATGCTTCAGGTTGCACTAAGGTGCATTTTGCCAGCTGATGAAAGGCCTGATATGAAATTGGTTTTCGAGCAACTTTGCTCGATAGCGCAATAACACAAGTTGAGGGGAGGGGTAAATTTGAATACTATGTAGTTGTAGATTTGTATCTTAAAAGTTGATATTTCATTCATGTTCCATTTTTAATTCAATTGTTTTAGAAACAAATTCATTTGTGAATTGGTACATTAAGTGATGAATGAAGTTGTATTCTTCACATTTATTGACAAGAAATAAAGTTTTCTTGTATGTCATTCTTATCAAAAGTTATCTTCTTTTTCTCATAATCATGAAATTGCACCAACTTTTGAAAAACTATTCAAACAAAATTCAATTCTTATACGATCTTACCAGATTAAATGTGCACAAATGTATGCTCTTTGGGTCATTATTTAACTAGCGCCCGTTTTTAAAATCTTTTTTCAAGTTTATCTGCTTTGTAGATAATTCAAATGTAATCGACTCAATTAGATAATTTCAAAAATCCAAAAATTAATCTCTGCTAGTGTTTAGGATCTTAAAAATATTACTCTCTGTTAGTCAGTCCCAAAAAGAATGACATATTTTTATATTAAGTAACAATTTAACTACTCCACAAAATATCTATTTCTTTTAATGAAATGATTTACAGCCACATAAATTTTTATCATTCATTTTGAACCACACATTTTAAAAGTTTTTCTTTCTTTCTTAAATTTCGTGCCAAGTCAAACTACCTCACATAAAATGGGACGGAGGGAGTTTAAATTTGATCATATTATATAATCAAATAAATATTAAAAATATTTTTTTAAAATTTACTTTTGAAATGCCCCAAGGCAAGTTCAAACCCCACATCAAGCAAAGCGAAGCCCGATATTTAAGTAGAGAAGGGTAGAGGGGCGAGCCCATTATCTACTGAGTTTAGAAGGTTGTGATTGATCCAAAAGGTGGGTCACTTGACAAATTTCTTGGTTATCAGGAAAAAGTTTTACTTTAGAAATTCATGATCAAACACAGCTAAAAGAATGAGAGGAAATATTTAAAAAAGGGAAAAGGGTCAAATATGCCCCTAAACTATTCGAAAAGGTCTAGATATACCCCTGTTTAAAGTTTGGCTCACTCGTGCCCTCGCCGTTCAACTTTTCGTCTAGATATGCCCTCATGGGCGTTAAATGCCAAATGGAATTGCCACGTCATTTTTACATTACCACGTGATATTTATATTAAAGGGAAAAGGGTCAAATATACCCCTAAACTATTCGAAAAGATCTAGATATACCCCCTTTTAAATAAACTACCCGACCCGTTTTCAACAAAAAAAATTCGGTAAATCCCAAAAATGAGTAATTGACTAATAAAAAATAGGAAAAATATGAAAAAAATAATATAAAATTAACGCCAAAAATTCACAAATAATAATAGTAACCTTAAATTCAACAATTTTTTAATTTTTTTATTTTTTTCGATAAATTCCGAAAATGAGTAATTGATTGATAAAAAATATAACATAAAAATTCAGCATAAAGTCATTACATATTTTTTATTAATCAATTACTCATTTTCGTGATTTATCGAAAAAAAATAAAAAATTATAAAAAATTGTTGAAATTGTTGAATTTAAGGTTACTATATTTATTTGCGAATTTTTGGCGTTAATTAAATTCGAATTCGTATGGTAGAATTCATTTTGAAGGTGGTGATTCTAACATTATTTTTTCTATTCCAAGAGAACTTGAACTTAAGATCGCTTGATCATTAAAAATGGATTAATCACAACTATCCCACTAAATAGTACTTCTTTCGTTTCAATTATTTGTTTTGTTTTTTTATTAGTTCGTTTAAAAAAGAATGTCTTTGGTTTGGTAAATTTTTTAATTCTAATGCATACCACAAGGCTAAGACATATCTTTAGTTTAAGATTACAAGATTTAAAAATATTCTTTCTTGTTTTAAACTCTATATCAAATTAAAATCAACCAAGTAAATTGAAACGGAGAAGTATATATAGTACTCCCCCTTTGTCCATTTTTACTTGTCAACTATATTATTTTAGGACGTTCAACAATATTTGTCCACTTTATAAAAACCAAGGAAATGAATAATTTATCATTTTGTGTCTCTTTTACCCTTGTTATTTAATACTTTTCATTTTCAATGTTTAGATGACTTATATTTTAATAAAGGTGATTTGGTAAAATCCTATTCTTTATTATTTTTAATTTTTGTGTCAAGTTAATAGTGGACAATTATGGTAGGACGAGAGTATATTAAAATATTTTATGGTGGAAACTTGTGTCTCCTTGTATATAATAAATTTAGTCTATCTAATCACTCAACTAGTGTAGGACAACTTTACAAAAATTGAAAAATTAATGTGTTCTTTGACTTGTGTAAGATATATCTCTCTCTCAATAAATGTCCTAATTCACTTTTTATAAGCCAATCCTTTTAGCCCATTTTTTCAAAATCTCTTCTCTAGGAAAAAAAATTATGGGAAGAGCTCCATGTTGTGATAAAGCAAATGTGAAGAAAGGGCCATGGTCACCAGAAGAAGATGCAAAATTAAAAGAATATATTGACAAATTTGGCACTGGTGGAAATTGGATTGCTCTTCCACAAAAAGCGGGTATGTTTTATTTAATTGAGTATCTGATAGATAGAGTCGGAATTTTGAGTTAATGTGTTTTGAATTTTATATAAACATAGTTGTTTGAATCAATAGTATTGAGTTTTGTCGAATTCGTAAGTAGAATTGTAGATTTGGTCTTTTTCTAGTTATGTTTCATTTTTGTTCTCTCTCTTTTGTATTGGAGTTAAAGTCGAGATTTTGGATAAAATTATTTATGTTTAAATCGAAAGTATTGAATTTTATTAAATCTGTAAGTACTATAACTACTCACAAACTTGATTTGTTTCTTTTAATTTATTTTTTGTTAATTAATTCTGATTTTTTGAATTATTTGTTTGTGATTAGGGCTAAGAAGATGTGGAAAAAGCTGCAGATTAAGATGGCTAAATTATCTTAGGCCAAATATTAAACACGGAGAGTTTTCAGAGGAAGAAGACAGAATCATTTGCAGCCTTTATGCTAACATTGGAAGCAGGTATATACATATTTTTTCTACTAAAATTTCAATCATTATTAAATTTTGATCACATAATTTCAAAAGTACGATGAGTTCGTTGCTAAGAATTTTAAAATTCAAACACAAACTTTGAATCATGGATTAACTTCTAAGTAGGGGATGTTGAGAACAAGTTATAGATAGTTCGAGTGAACCACTTTAATTTCCTCCTTCTAGCTTTGTACCTAAATGGGATGTGATAAAATTTCAAATTAAACTCGAAATGATTCAAATCTTAAATTAGTCTCTGCTTCTAACAACTAGTATGATCCTAGAAATATATACTTTGCATGCATGAGTATTACTTTCAAGAATTAAAGTCTAGTTAATTAGTACTAGTAACTTTCATGTTTTTGGTCATGAAAATTAATTAAACTAATTTCGATATCTAAAAAACATATGCAGGTGGTCAATAATAGCAGCTCAATTACCAGGCAGGACAGATAATAATATCAAAAACTATTGGAACACAAAGCTCAAGAAGAAATTAATGGGATTTGTCTCTTCATCTCACAAGATCATTAGGCCTCTTAATCATCATCATTATCAACACCAAATTCCCACTAATTGTTACAATAATTATTCCTCACAAATTTCACTTCTTCAAGCTTCATCTTTATTAATCTCATCAAATTATCCCAACAACACAACTTTCCCATGCTATGAAACCAATATTCCTAGTACAATCCCATCAAGTACAAGTTTCTTAAGCGCGGGTGCATCGACTAGTTGTACCTCAGGCATAACCGCTGGTACTTTCGCGGTCCTACTACCTCTTCTGAAGAGAGTTATGACATTTCGAATTTTAATTTTCATAGCTATATGTATAATAACAATGGTGTTATTAGTGAAGGAGAAAAGTTGATTAGTGGAAATAGTGGTAGTGGTTGTCATGTTGATGAGCAACAAAATCCATTAGATTATAGTAGCTTGGAGGAGATTAAGGATCTAATTAGCACTAATCATGTTACTTGTAATAGCAATAGCTTTTTGCTTGATCATGAGATCAAGACAGAAGAAAAAGTCATGATGTACTATTGATGGACAAATATAAGAAATTTTTCAATTTGGGAAAAGTAGTTTTTTTTTTTAAAGTACAATTGGAAAAAGTAAAAAGTTTCCATTGTTGCATTTCTTTTTGGGAAATTAATGTGTTAGTACTTTCCTTTTTTTCTTTTTCCATATTTAAAAAAAAATATAAAGATAATGTTCGAATCAGTTTATCGCAAATCGATTATTTCATCATCCATATGATTACTTTTCATCAAGATAGATATCAGATATGTTTATGCATCAAGACTTATATCTCTTTGTAGTATAATTGTTATCCGTTCTGTTAAACTCATCATCGTGTGTTAGTGCTAATGTTTTAGCAGTAATTATTCACATATGAGTTTATATTTTATATCGATGATGTAAAGAACATTTGTACAATTAGGTCACTCAAAGATTATTGCGAATAATTAATTCTATTTAGTAATATTAATTACTAACCTAAAATAAAATGTTATATAGATTAAACTATATATATTGAATACAAAAAATTCATAATATTATTATTGTCGATATATATAACTTATATTTCCTCCGTCCCATTTTATATGTCACCTTTTTTTACTTTACACCTTTTTACTTTGCACTTGCATTAAGAAATTATGTAATTTTACCCTTAAATCTACCCTTATTTAATGTTTTCTTAAGTCAACTTTATTAATAAATGACAAGATTAATTAACTATTCTATCAAGGGTATAATAGGAAAAATATGGTAATTTATGCATAAATTTTATAAAATGACAAGTATTGTGGTCCAGTTATTTATAGAAAGGGATGACATATAAAATGAGACGGAGGAAGTATATTTTAAATAACTGTTGCCTTATCTGATCTGTCATTTCAACCTCTTGAAATAAATAATATGAAAATTGAAGATTAAGGTTTAAAAAAAAAAAAATCGATTTTAAATTTTTCCTTATAAAACTTCAAATATATTCCATGATCAAATATCATTTTTAAATTCAACTTTACATATCTTGTAAAATATTAATTTATTCATGTCCAA